ACTGACCAAAAGCACTCTTCCTGAATGGGACTGATAGGTCGCCACGTGTGGAGCTTCTAGTGGTCAGTCTGGTGTTGTTACGTTGAGTAACCAATGAATTAAGAGGGGGAGGGGCTGTATTGTGCAGGACTTTGTAAACCAGAACGATGTTCCTATACTTTATTAAATCTTCCCAACTCAGGATGTTATGCTTGTTGAGGATGATACAGTGATGGGAGCGGTTAGCTTTCTGGTCCAGTACTTTGAGGGCTTGTTTGTACAGGGTTTCTAGTGGCTTCAGTGTGGAGCTGTTAGTTTGCCCCCAGCTTGTGAGACAGTATGTAAGATGTGAGATGATCATGGCATTCATGTATAATTTGGCAGAATTCAATGTCATTGTGTTTCTTATGTATTTACAATTTGCTAGGCTAAACTCAACTCTTTGGGTCACTTTTTTGACTTGTGTTTTGAATGTTGAATTAGAGTCAATAATGATTCCAAGGTACTTAACCTGAGGCACAATGTTAATATGTTCACCTGAGATGCTTATATTTGACACGATGTTGCATTTTCTTTTTGTGAAAAATATTCCAACTGTTTTTTGACATTAAGCTGAAGACAGGAGCGGTGTAGCCAGCTAGTGATCAGCACTAAAGCTGAGGTCAGTTTATCAGCAGCCTTTTGCTGTGGAGGAAGAAGCCAACACATGTATTCCATTTGCAGGCTTCTGCACCCAAAGTACGCTGATGTGGAAGTGACTCCGGCCTCCCTACCGACTGCATTTGCATTTCCAAAAAGCATTGAATCATACCTGCAGATGTACAACAATTACTGTACAGGTATTTCTCCCAGTCAGAAACAACAAAAAAAAAGTTTTTTACAAGGTAAAGCGAATTAAAAGCTTTCTCGAATACATGTCACATGACGCTAGCCGTCTCTCCGACTGGCAGTTTATAAATGATGTGCAGAATATCAATTTGTGGACAGATCATTTTTCAAAGTTTTGCGGAGCGATCACAACAGCTTTTGTGTTTCTGAACTATGTTCATCATTTTCTCCGGTACTTCTCAGAGTCAAAGCCGTTATCATGCAGGCTAAAAACAAGCTGATGTCGTCCGTATCTTGAGAGAAGTTAAATCCCTCATTAAACACATGAAAAAGGGTGTAGCTCTTCACCACTTTAAGATGAAAGCTGACAAACTCGACCACCTTCCAAGCCAGGCCGATCTCCTACGCGCCAAGGCGGCCGCTGAAACACGAATCCCGCAATTGCTTGACATCTTGGCACGCGCGCCCAGCTCCTCAACCCAACATCTATTGTATGGCTATTCAACCCTGCATTGGAGTCTCCTGTTTGGTCACCGGCCTGGCGTATACAAAAACATGATAGACAATGAAGTCCTTCATGCGGAGAGGAGGGGATCTGCTCAGGGCTATTTGATCCAGGTCCATCATCACAAAACTGCCAACAAATTCGGAGCAGCGCAGCTCGCGCTTACTCACAATGAGTTTAGCTGGATCAAACGTTGGATGGATATCAAAAAAAGATTGCCTGGTCGACAGAACGACTTCCTTCTGTGCACAACAGGGGATTTTCCTTTCAATAACCTGCATGAATACTTGCAAAAAGCATGGCAGGATGTTGGGCGGCACAGTTCCATATCTTACACAAAGCTTCGCACTTCACTGGCTGACAATGTGAGTTAAATACACACTATGTTCTGTGGTTGTTGGGGGGTTGAAAATAAACTAATGTGGCTTTGTCTCTACAGATTAAGCACCATCAAGGTCCAGAGAGCCGGTCGATTCTCTCCAGATATATGTGTCATAATGTTTCGACCGCAGATCAACACTATGCAAATGCGCCGGGATACTTAAAGCGTTTAAAATCCGTTCACTGTTCCGGGACTCTACAGCGGCAGCCCATATCTTGGAGCTCCACGAGACAGCTGCATCTGAAGGAGCAATCCAGATGGGAGGTAAGGATGATGCAAGGGCCGCGTACACCCATCTCTTCCCGGGTGTGAAGTCACACTAACACGCCTGACTGTTTATGAAATGTAAAATGTTGTAATTATGAAAATGTTTGAATAAAAAAACATTGACACCACTTTTCCCCATGTTATTGCAGGTAGGGCTGCAACTAACGATTATTTTGGTAGTCGACTAATCGGTCGATTATTTTTTCGATTAGTCGACTAATCTAACGATTATCGAATGTCGCATGCATCTCGTGTGATCTTCGAAATACCTGGCGACATTACAATTAGAG